GATAATCTTCTATATATTAAAGAAAAACATTCTAAACTGTTTTGAAGGTGTCAATTCCACAAATTTCCACAAATTTCCTAAACTTTTTTTAAATAATTAAATCCAATAATAATTATCTCCTACTATRCTACTATCCAAACACTCTTCTTATCATTTTTTTATTTATTCAATTCTTTTATACTCATTACAACAAACATTTATTTTAAAATATTACCTACTATTACTGTAAATTTAATTGCCAAACAAATTTTAATATTCATAAACTTGCCAAAAACAATTATTTCAAAATTTAATATTAAATCTCACAATTAAATTTACATAGAAATTCTCTATATATAATTTGACAAAAGTAAAATGAATAAGTTTTCATATTTTTTGTGTGAAATCTATGAACATGTATAAGAATTTTTTAAAATATATTTTAACAATAGTTGATATATAACTAAATACATTTTAGATTGAAAACAACATTATTCAATTTTGTTTGAGAAAATATGTGTTAACAAATAAAATTTTGGTAAGTACATAAAATATGCTAAAACTAAAGTATGTCAAGATTAGTGCATCAAATATAATGAGATGATATACTGCTTCTTAATTCAAAAATATAAAATATAGAAGCAAAGTAATATTTTTTAGTAATTTTCAACTACTTTAGTTCGAGTTTGTATAATTAGAGTTCGATTTGGATAATTTAATATATAAATTTTGAACCCATTCGAATTATTATTTATTTTTATTCAGTTTTGAATTGGTGAATTTTGACTCGATTCGGTTTATATATTTTTTTATTTATAGGTGAAATATATTATTATACAAAATAAAAAGTAATTGTAAATTTGAATATACACCAGCAATTTTGAAATTTCATTTTTGTATGTTCATTTCGTTCCGTGGTCAGCGCGGATACTATCCTAGTTTTCTTAATGTGTGTCATTATTTGTTTTTTTAGTCTGTATGTCGTTTTGTATATATAGACAAAAAACGTATACTTATTTGTTTATTCTTAATAATAATGTTAAACAACATTACGGTTATTCAACCGATTAATATTACTTCATTAGTTCACAACTATTTTTCTTTTTCTATTTTTAGTTATTTCAAATTATTTTTAGTGATTTTACATAAAACAAGTGAATGAATTTGTAAGATTCAGTTAAATTAAATAATTTAGCTAAATTCAATAAATTGCTAATATTACCAATAAAAATAAAATAAAAAGTAGTAGTTCATAATATAAAATATTATTAAATTTTACTAAAAAAATTTCTAAAAATAAAAAATATTAACAAAATAAATTGGGTTTAGAAGATAATTAAATAAAAGATTATTATTTTTTAAAATTGAAAACATTTATAAATTTTAATATTTAATTTTGACAAAATAATTTTAATAAGTTTAATGTATTAATTTATTTCAAAAATTCTGCCACGTTCGGTCAGATTTACCTTACCATTACATTCAACATTATTCTATTAGATTCTTCAAACAATAACCAAAAAAATTGTTAGATTCTACAAATATTATGCTATTACCATTTACAGCGTAAATCAATCTTCCGATCCTTATTGATTAAAAAAAAAAGGATAGGACCACAGATCACGCCAACAAAAAAAAAAAAAAGGACCACAGATAATTACAAATAGCTCAATCAAGAGCGTAACACTATTAAAACACGTGCATATTTCATGTTCTAACCACCTCTCTCATTAAAGACAACACAAGTGGTATGTGTGTCGGTGCACGTCCTTAACGAATAGAGCTAGTATTAAAATAAACTAATTCGAAAATTAATTGACTTTCAAATATTCAAAATTTTCCAAAATAAAATGGATCACAAAATTAGATAATCTTTAAAAAAAAAACAAGATTTTTTTTGTATATGTTCTACTAAGGTTTAGTTATGAGGATTTAGAGAATGTTTAGAGATCAAAAC